AGCTGGTTCAGTTGATCCAAAATACCAAAATAAAGCACTTGCCTATGCCCCACACACTGCCAGCTGGTGGCTGAAGCACTCTGTAAAAACTGGGACGTTTCAGAGAGCCTTATGTTACACTGGCAGGTGGCTGAGCTGTAAAATACAGAAACCCCTGCTCCAGCAGGGCTGGAAGCATTGTAGGACTGTTTTCATTCTGGCTCAGCACCTGGGATTCATGTGGAGGGGGTTGAGAGTCGAGGGTCAGGTTGGGGGGCCTAATGCAAGTTGCTCATGTGTATTACAAACTGATGGAAGCTTCACCCCAGCGGTACCAGGAGCAGATTATGTGCTTGTCTGCTCCTTCAGAAAGAGAAGAAGACAATTGTGGTCCAGGGAGCCTCATGCAAGCACTCATGGGAGCAGAAAGACAGTGAACCTGGCTAGAAACCTCATCACCATGTCTGTGCAAGCCCGTTGGATACACATCTGATGTGTGGTTCTCTTGGGCTTTGCTTCCTCTGTATCATTTCTGCCCTAAGAGAGCCAAGGGACACTGTGTTAAACAGGGGTGTGCAGTGGGCTTGCTTGCTGAGGTGCTGTTTCTGCAGGACAGACCCTGGTGGTCAGGGCAGTCTCTGCTGGGTAAAGATGAGGCTGGGGGGCATAGAGGGCTGCAGGAGGAAGGGCCCAGCTCCAGACTGATCAGAAACAATGGTGAGGTGCCCTTTGGGAGGTCGTGCAATATCTGCTGCAGGTTTTTTTTCTGAAACACAAACACAGAGGGGAGTTTTCGTGAGAGGAAGACCAGCACCTGATCCAAAACTGGGGGGAGAGGGAGGTCACTGTGCAGCCATTGCTGGGCATCTGAAGGTCCTGGGGAAGAGGAGTGGTTGGGAGGGGCTGCTGGCAGCCTGGGCTTGAGGCCATGGATGAAAGAACAAAGAGCAAGGTGAATTGCTTTTTATTTCTTCTTCCACAGAAAATCCTTGCTGCAGCAGAGGAGAAAGAGAACAAGTGTTTTCAGCTGTTGGTGCTCCCCCCTGTGACACAGGACAGGGCCAGCCTGGGAAGAAATGCCAGGGATCTTTGCTCTCCCTGTTTCATATGGCAATGTTCTTGAGAGAGAGATATTTTAGCAGTTAGGGTTTAATCATGCCAAACTTGATCAGGTGACTGTCTAATCTTTTTAAGAGTTTAGCTACCTAAATGAAACTATCTGAAGAGATTGTTTTATCACCATTACAGCTGAGCAAATAATTCACAACAGATAATTTATGAGCTGCCTTTTGCCTTTGCCTCTTCATGAAGTGATTAGATGGTGCTCAAAGCATTCATTAGTCAAGAATTTTAAATCTATTTCCTGGGCTTGGTCCCCTCAGGAGACTCACAATTTGGCTGTATTTCAACAAACCACTGACTGTCTCCAGCTTTCTGCCCATGAGCAACACCATTCAGCATCCAGAGGTCAAAAATAGGTGAGAGCAGCCAGTAGGTCAAGGCATGGAGAGGAAATGGGGTCCAGACAACCAGGCTGGGGCACCATGGATTCAGGCCAACTGAGTCTTGTGGGTCGTGCTGGGAAATGTAACCCAGCAGGACACAGGTGTCTGAAAGAAAAAAAAATAACCAAGCACCAAAATCCTGCAATGAGGTGCATCATTTACGTTGACCTAGGCTGAGACTCAAATTTTTGCCATCCCCCCCGCAGCAAGAGCCTTCTAAACACACACATGCTGTGCACCGACTTGCAGGAGCATTTGCCAAGTAATAAGCAGCATGAAGGCAGCCAAACTGCATTCAGGAACAGGCAGACAGTCTGGAACTGAACTCACTCCATCTTTTCTGTGGCCAGAGGGAAAAATTGCCATGGGCAGAATTTTATTAAAAACATAATGCCAAAAAAAAAAAAAAAAAAAGCAAGTAGTAGAGAGAGAAAGAAATAAGGATTGGGAAATAAATTAATCAATGTTCCTCTGGGAGCAAAGGATGCCCTTGGGCCACAGTACAGCTGGCTTGACAAGAGGACAATATTGCAGGTGCTCTACATGTGGCCCAGTTTGTTTCCAGGTGCATTCGGAATAATGATGTCTTAATGCTTTCCTATTTCTTTTTTTTCTCCTCAGAAGCTGGGTCATTATTTTTTCCTTCTTTTATCATTCGTGTCTATTCCAGTAGCAATTTGGAATATCCTAGAAGGGGGTGAAATCCCCACTGTGCTGGAAATTATGTGAACTGGTGACACAGGCAGGCTGCACTGGGAAACTTCCTTATCCAGTAGAGACCATTGCAAAGTTCAGCAGTAAAGCCAAGGACTGCTGTCTGCACTGCACAGCTGGAGCCTCCTTGCTGTGCACCCTGGTGATAAAATGCTGACCAACATGCTAATTAAGAGCTGCTCACAGTAGGATGTACAATGCAATATTTAGGATAAGAAAGGTGGGCAAAACCTTAACTTTAAAAAAAAATAATTAGAAGTATATAGAGTACTTAATTTCAAGGATATCTTGTACTTCAAGACTAAAAGATCTGTGGAATTTGCCTGCTACATTTTTAAAAGGCACTTGCAGCACTTGCTTGCTGTGTTATGCCAAAAGGACTCAGATTTTGAGCCAGCATAAACAGGATGTCAGGGCCTGAAGGTCTTTGCCAATATGTGGCCAGTGGTGGGGACTGCTGAGGGGTGGCCACTGCCACCAGTGCACTGGCACACGCTAAGGCCAGCCACAAGGATGCTTGGCTTGCCAAGGCTCAGCAGGGCACTGCTGGAAACCACAGAGGTGTGGGCAGGGAGCCTTTGCATCCTGTCAGGAAGCTGAGAGCTGCTCCTGTACTTGGCAGAGGGCAGCTGGCTTGAAGGAAGAGCTGCTCACCTGTGGCTGTCTGCTTGGGGGGCACCTAGGCAAGGCCTCCTTCACAAAACCCTCATTCTGCCAATTTTAGACTGGATATGGCCATGGTCCTTTGTGCACCTGACACTGCCTGTGTGTGTTGCTTTGTTCAGAGCATGGGGTGTCCAGAGAGACTGTGAAATCACTGACATGCTCAAAATTCAACAAGCAACCTGATTTAAGGTGCCTGTTTTGAACATGATCCTGGACCAGATGACAAACAAGCACAGAGCAGACTCGGATGCCCTGTCAGCCTCAGTTATTCTGTGATTTTGCTTGACTCATGAACAAAGATCTATGGGCTCCTCTGTGAGGTATCCACACTTGAAGGTTCAAAAGGAGATATTCAGCGCAGCCAAGTATGAGGGCCAGTGGAGGTTTTGGCATGAAAATACAATCTATGAAAAAAATGGTGATGTCTGGAGCATCTCAGATGCCCAAATCAGGCACTGGTGGATGGCACCCTGTGAAAAGGCTGAGATTCAACCCAAGTAACATTCAAGGCAATTTGAAGAGGGCAGAGGGAGGTATCTTGCTCTTTTTTTTTTCAGTCTGTGTTCTGCATGCCTTCCAAGGGAGGGGTATCACCTTAAAAAGGTGAAAGCTCTTTGTGGAGAGCAGTAGCTGTAAGGCACAAGCACATTAATCATGCACTTCTCAGTGACACAGATTTAGTGGGCTGTCTTCTGGCTCACCTGAATATCAGCACCAAAATGACTGAGGTCTAACTATGGTTCTAAATATAGAACCATAGAATGCATTAGGCTGGAAAGACCTTTAAGATCACAGAGTCCAACTGCTAACCCAAAACTGCCCAGTCTGTGACTAAACCATGTCTGTAAGAGTCACATCCACACTGAGACCTGAGCAATGCAGAAGTAGGAAATCATCAGCTGTAAGGCCTTTCTCCCTCCTTTCCTTTGAGACTAGTGAAGGTATAACAGGGCAGGGGCTAAGGGGCCAGCAAGTTTGGCCATCTGCTGGTGCTGCTCTGCTGAAGGGCAGGGTGGAGACGAGGGGAAGGAGTCTTTAGCAAAGCACATCACATGCATACTGCACAGACTGAGAGTGACATTCAGGCCCATGGTGGGAAGAAATGGACTTGAATCATTTTAGGATAGGGTTCATTTTAGGAAGAACCCTCTCCCTATCCTGGATGCTCCAGAGACGAACTTGAGTTGGTGTTATTTTATTTGCTCCAATAAACATTTGATTTATACAAAACAAAACAAGACAAAACCCCCCTCAAAACAGTTTACAAAGCAAGTTAAGTGTTTGAAACCTTTGATATACAAGAGTATATATTCCTCACATTCCTATTTCATACATGATGTACAGGTGAAGTATTCCTTAAAAGAATAAAAATTTTCCTTTACATGTAGTGTTAAAAAACCCCATAAAAATGTCAGTACTGTCAGGAACTATGGGTTGCCATTCCTTGACCTTCTGGGTGGATGGAGGAAGAGAAATGGGCTGAGACTGAGTCCTTACCACTGTAATGACTTTCTACCTCCCTGGATGCACTCCCCACCCACATCTCCTACCTCTGCCTATGGCCCTGTGAATTTACAACATTCCATCCCTAAAAAAATGCCATAGTATCCTCTAAATTCCACTGTAGGTGTGGAGGTTTTGCCCCACTCTGTTTTAACATCTCTGAGCAGTTTGGTTAAAATGCAAAAAAAAAAAAAAAAAAAAAAAAAAAAAAAAAAAAAAAAAAAAGAAAGCAGTTACAAAACCATTTCAAATAAAGTATTTGCCATCATAAATCTTAACTCCTATTTGAATAAGCATGATTCCTATTGACTTGCATGGCAAAATTTTTGAGAGGAATATTGATGTTTATCTGTCAAAGGTGTTTAATAAACCACACCAGATACATATGTCCAGGATTGGTTTGTGCTGGTTAAATTTCTAAATTGCAAGGCCTGCTGACATGCCATGAGGAAGAGAAAAGTGGATAAATTACTGTAAAACACCTAGAGACAAAATTTTTAACACTTCTTAAACACATTGCTATCATGTATATAGGCCCAATGTGATGTCAACTGTCTCAAGCATTTTGGGGAACTGAAAGAATGCCAGCGAAGTCTGAAAGATCCTGTTGAAAAAGTCTTTCTTTGTTTTTGGTTTGTTTTTGTTTTTTTTTTTAATTCTTTGAATTGCTGACTTGCTGAGGCAGCCCTAAATGCAAGCAATGCTGAGGGCAGGATATGCCATTAACCTATTGCTATGGAGCTTTCCCTCACCTCCAAGGTCTTTTTGCAAAAATAAAGGCAACAGCTGCTGCCTCTTACTTTGGAAAGTGTGGAACAGTCACACTGTGGTTTGCCTAGCAATTAGACACATTGTACAGGGAAAAGGAAAAAAAAAAAAAAGTTTGTTCTTATAGCAACACAATCAAGGTAAAAGACAGGGGAAAAATAATAGGACTGCCCACATTCAGAATGCACAGCAAATATAAAACATCTGCTTGGATTGTTCCTGGCCCTGTCCTGTTCTCTATGGTTTGAGCGTGGGGATGGGAGGAGGGGAAAACTGATCCTGCTGATGCTTTGCAACCTGTTTGCAAGCAGCACGAATTCAATGCAATAAACATACAACATTAATGAACTCACAAAACACACATGTGGGATGGACCAAACCTCCTCACATGCCTGTTCTGGAACACTTTGAACACTTTGGGGTTAAGATGAGAGGGAAAAGGCAATCCTGAATTTTCCACAATGTGCTGCAGGACCATGCAAGTACAACTGCAAAGTCAACTTGGCCTGTCTGCTGTGAGACTGCTCCTGCTCCTGTGAACAGCAGGATGACAGCCAGGTGGTCACAGCACATGCTTTGAAAGTCATCTTCTTATTGCATCTCATTCCTATTTTTTGGCAGAACGCTTAGTGCACAATTGCTGGTGTGGTGCTATACCAGTCCCCCCAGGCTCCTTCCCTAAGGGATGGGATTTCTAATGTACTGGTAATTTCCTGGAAGCACTTTCTTTTAATAACTTTTCTTTACCCAGGACATGACTGTTTATAGATATATAGATACATATATATATACACATACACACACATTTTTTATATATATATATATGTATATATATATATAAAAATAGCAATTTCATAGTTATATACAGGCATTAATAAAGTGCATAATGTTATTGGCTATTTTCAAATCCTTTTCCTGAGGAAGTGCTACCATGTATAGCTCCTCCTATGACATGATGCTGGCCGCCAGTGCTAGGGTATGACTGCCACTCCCCCAGCTTGTAATTCCCAGAATACATCTCCCTGTCCAGAGCTGGAGCTTAAAGGGAGTAGTGACAGCCTCAGTCCTCCAGGAAGCAAGTCAAGGCACTGATCAAGACCTCTTCCTTTGCCAAGGTGAACACGTCTAGGAGCGACTTCCCTCCGTCCCGGAGCTCTCGGGCAGGCGCTACTTGGCGGTGGTCACGGAGCCGTCCTCGGGAATCTTCTCCTCGGAGCAGCTCCTCCCCGAGAGCCTGTCGTGGTGCCGGAGCTCGCTGAAGCGCTCGGCCACGCACTGCGCCGTCAGCCGCGCCTCGGGGTCGTGGTCCCAGCACTCGATGAGCGTCTCACACACCATCTGGATGCCCTGCAGGGAGCACAGAGACAGCGCCCGTGACGGGGGCAGCCACCAGCAACGCCTCTCTCACAGAGCTGCTTCAGTGCCCTCAGAATTTTGGGGGTTATTTCACGTGTGTCCTGGGGGTTCTTTATCAGATCTGCTGCTTCTGTCATGGGGGCATTTTTTTCTTTTTGGTTTTTTTTTAAGAAACCCTACTACAATATTTTCAGCCCTTTAGTTGGAACTGTCATTTCTGGGCACGTGGTCTGATATAACAAGAACAACGATGCTTCGGACCAGTGATATAGAATCAAGCAGGGTTTTTTGTTTAATAAATATGATCAGAATCCTTGGATAACATGACCTCCTGCTCAACCCATGCCTCTGCATGCCTGAATTCTGCTTGGGTTTTTCAAACAGAATTCTGACTGCCAGCAATATTGGGCTGTATATCAGCTCTTTATGAATTCCTTGTAGACTGCCTAAATCTATGTGCAAATATGGGCCACAGTCCCACAAACACTTAAGCACATCACTCACAGTTGTAACTGTTTAACCTTCATTTCAATTCCAATGCAAATGTTTTCAGGAGCAAAAACCCAGTTGCATCTCTGTAATGAATTTTATAAACATGAAGTATTTGCCACAGGAAACTGAGTTTTGTTTTATGATACTAAAAGCCCATTAAGTAGGATTTATCTTAAACTTATTTAAAAAGATAACATTTCACAACACTGCATTAATTGTATAATTTACCTAATTGGTGATGTTGACTGATGTCAATGCTAATAGCAGAATGTTACTGTCTGTATACAAATAACATTAGTTTTCTGCTGGCATTGAAATTACAAGCAGTAAATTAAATTAAATATTAAACATTAACTTGAAATCAATAGTGCAACAAATCTCATTAAGGGGGGTGTGGGGGTAATTGTAATATGTAAATCCATTCCAGAATTTTATCATGATGAATAATGAGTTCATTACAAAAACACAACTGCAGAGGAAGGAAATGAATATGGAAGAACCATTACAGTAAGAACAACTTCTATGGAATTCAAAGCAGATCCTCAGCTGCTGCAAACCACCACAGCACTGTGGAAACTGATGCATCACTGCATCTTAGATAAGATGGGTTTTATATAGGGAAGAAACCTCTGAAGTCAAATGCAGGACACCTAGGTCCAAATCATGATCATTCTACTTGCTTTATAAACCCAGAGGTGATTAAATCCACAGTGTATCCTACAGCTCTACCCCAGTACCTCAACCTGCAACTCTCTGCACACTCAGCCTTGCTGTCAAGGGCTTTTAGTGCTGGTAGTATCAGATATCCAGGTTTCCCTCAAAATTCAACTTTCTTCCCTTGTTAAAAGCCCCTCCTCAACAGCCCTACACCTCACAGCTGAGTACATAAGGAGCAAGTTCCTGCAGTCCAGGAAGGGGCTGCATTCTGCCATAGTCAACAGGTGGCAGGTGTTCCTGGTTGGAAAGATGATTGATTTTAGCAACTCACTTGGTCTTTTTTAAGTAGCTGATTTTAACTTCCCAAATGGAATTAAAAAGGGAGTGTTACATTGCTCCTGATGGAAACAGTAGATGATATTCTTGGTTGCCTGGGCTTCTGTAAAATTTTTTGATACTTTCCTTTTGTCACTAAAGACCACTCAGCATATTTCATTGAGAAGTGGAATGACCAAGCCTCTAATATGATTCACATTTTATCTCTACTGATAAAACTACTGAGAGCAAAGGTGAAGAAATGCATGTGTTTGGCTTGTTTCCATTCAGTTTCCTCTACTGAAAAATCTACCATTGCCTAGGAAGTGCAACCATGGTGCTCGTGAATGGAGGAAGCTGACAAAGTGCTTTGTGATATGCAAGGGAAATGGACTGCTAATGCACAACCTGAATAAAACCAGACTGGCTTGCTGAAGACTAATTTCCTATTTCATTAAACCTGTCAACAGCTGGGATACAACTGGTTTCCATGGTAAAGTACTCAGATTTGCTTTCTCTGCTGAAGATCCTCTGTAGTGGGATGGTCTCCCTGGAAATGGGGTAAAACAAATTGAACAGTGCCCTGTTTGCAAAGCTGCCAGTGGTGAATGGAGAAGGGCATCATGCTGCTTTTGGTGTTGAATAATGCTGAAACCAGCCTGGCTCAAAGTTAAACATCTTGATAGTGATGTGAAGGTGTGGCAGACCTGGTGAACTGCCCAACAAAGGAACAAACAAGTGATACTATTAATAACTTATCTAAAGCTGCTGAGCTGACTGAGCTGGCCTGGAGACATCTGACTGACAGTCCATTGCTTTATATTATGAAAGCCCAGTCCCACTTTTTAACAACAGCATCTTCTAACATAACCCTTCTTGAAATGAGTGTAGACATTCCTCCCCTTGAGGAGTTCAATGCCTCAAGGTTACTCCCATGCCCTCAAGGTTACTCCTCGAGGCTGAGCATGAGAGATTTGCCTAAGGTTGTTGGCATGGGTGGCTGACATCAATCTTAAGTTAATAATTGGTTTTGCTACCTTTAGTACAGTTGCTTTAATATGATTGCTTCAATATTGCTTCATAGTGCACACTATATGAGTAGTTACAGCTCCTACACTGTGTAGTACATAATTCTAAGACCTTTTTGTCTAGTTATTATCATAATAAATAATTTATATTTTTATATCTGGTTTGGCAACCTTAATCATGTGGGACAAAGTTGTATAATGGTTCAATTGCACCTATATAATCCTTAAAATGTAAACTTGACAAAATCTGGGGCTGAGACTGAACCCAGCCACACCTAGACACCTCTCTGAGAAGGAGTTTAGCAAGCAAGGGGATCCTTTCTGTACCTCACGACTCAACAGGAGGGCTTCTCTAATAAATTTTGTCTGAAGCTCTCATTCTGCCTGCAACAGAGGCTCATGTGTGAAGTTGTTTTCTTTGCCCTTTCAGAGCCTACACACAGTGTGCTTTAAGGGCCTAACTATTCTGCGGCTCTCTGGATGATTTTTGGATCTCAGACTTCCAATGTTTCTGTTTTGACTGCTTTTAGATTACACTGGTGTGCAGTAGGAATACCAGGGCTTTGGGGCAGGCATGGTGCAGAGAACTGTGGTGCCTGAACCACTTCAGCACCAGTGCCACTCTGTGATGGAGTTTCTCCATGTGTCACAGACCTCTCCATGAAAAGAGAGGTGCAGCCTCTTGGGCGGGGCACTGAGGTAAGGTTCGGGCTTCAGGCAGCAGCTAAATGTACAGTGCAGGTCCCACTGCCCACGTGTGGTGCTCTTACCTGATGGTTAAGCCAGGAGCTGGGGATCTCGGGTCGCCCTCTGTCTCTCAGGACATTGTCCTTCATGCTTTCCACACAAGGGTGTTCTCGCACTTTGGAGCCGAATGGGGGCTCGTACTCTTTCACTTCTGGGAAAGAAGCAAACACAGGGTATTTAGCTGGGCTGTGCTGGTGCCAAGAGTGGAGGGAGCTGGCTGTTCTCTGAGGAGTAGGAGCTACTGATTAGCTGCTCGCTGCCACTGTTCTGCTTGACCAGCTCCAAACAAAGCAAAGCCAGTTGGCATTTTCAAAAATGTTACAAATGTGTTTCTCACACACACTCCCTCCCTCCCCTTTTGTTTCCTAGCCAACAAAACAATTCTCATTTAAACCCTTTAGTACATAATAATATTAGCAACAGTCCAAGAAGCAGAGTAATCTATTTGTGAGCCTTTCAATCTCTGCTGAGGTAAAATGCACAGGAGGTTTAAGGTGAGTTTTGCATGAGCTAAGCTTTCGAACAGTTGGTCACCCTTAGCTCTCCGGGAGTCCACACACACTTATCAGATAAAATATAAACTGAAATCTTGGTCATGGTAGAGGTGAATGTGAGGATTGCTGGGACAAAGCAGTTGCTTGGAAAGGGCAAAGATACAGTTAAGGAGCAATGCTGGAAGCTGCCATACTGCTCTTGTTTACTCCTAAGCTGCATTCTTTTGTAGAAAGTAGTAGTCTGCTCTTATTTTAGATTTCCTTCCCAAAATGGATCAGTTTTGGCCTGTGATACAGGGGCATAGGTTTCTAAAGGGGCTGCTGCCACTCTAGTTTTTGTTTGCATTTTGCATATTTTCTTTGCTTTTCTTTGGAGAGAGAAAGGAAGAGGCAGACATATGGGACCCTTGGAGAAAACTCAAGAAATCTCTGAGAGCGGAAATATTATAGTAGATGCTGACACAGTGTAGAAAATGCTGTGGTTTCTTTGGGAACAGATGGAGACTTTACTCACAGGCCTAATGACTTGCTGCTATCAGATAAAGATTTATGAAGTTGGCCTGTTCTGCTGCCTCTTATTTCTTTCTAGGAATTAATTGGGGGCAAGCAAAACTGAAGTATAATCTACAAAGAAGTCTGGAGAATGCATGTGAATGCCCAGATGATGTGTGAACAGAGACAAACGAGCAGAGAGACAAACCACTGCTGCATGATGCTACAACCAAGTTCAACTGAGTGCCCAGTGTTGCTCACTCCTCTAAAGGGCTAAAAATTGCAGAGAATGCATGAATAAGGATTAAAGGCCTAGAAGAAATGGGAAGAACATCTAACACTTGGGTTTGTTCACTTTGGGAGAGAAAGGTAAGGATGGGGTCATATGATATGCTAGTGAAAATAGCTAAGAATCAAGATGACACAGCTTAGAGCCTTCTGTCATGTCTCATGATAAAAACAAGGTAGTATTGAAGACAACTATCTTTGGATTTTTCCCCAAAGCCTTGAAGTCAGGCTGTAGATCTCACTTGTATGTGATGGCCATGAGACGAAGACTTTATCAGGCTAATGCTTAAAAAGAATAGCCAAGTTACAATAACAAACATTTTGGAAGGGATATTAAACCTCTTGCTTCAAATGCTCAGCATTTAGAGATTCAGCTGCAAACAACTGTGTGCAGGGCAGCAGATCACCCCATAGATGCCTCCTGCAGAGCTCTTCTTCCTTCTCCCTAGCCATCTGCTGCAGGCCACTTTCCACAAGATGCTCTGGAGAATGGCTATAGTCCAGAAACAAAACTTCCATCTTCTAAGACCCAAGGGCCAAAGTCTGCTTCACTCTCTTTCCTGAGCAAGAATGCAAACCAGTTTCACCCACATTAATCTGAGTCTGAGATGACTCAGCCAAAATAAATTTATATAACTTTAGCTCTAGAAATGAATTGGGAAGTTGCCATGTTGCTAGTCAGACCTGGGTTAGCATGCAGCAGATGCACAATAATTATACTGCACATACCTATATGTTCAAAGCTAACAAAAATATTATAACAAAAATTCACCAGGAGAATTTAAATCACATGACCTAGATGGCCATTTCCTGCACCATCTCCATCAGTCATGGTTCAGTTGTGGTAGTGGTCATGGACACCAGCCAAGGTTCTGAGATCTTTCAGGGTGAGGAGTTAGAGGAGTCTCAATGGCCAACAGAGGGAAGCTAGTGCTGTGGTGCTGACTTGTTGTTCCCTCTCACTAATTTAATCTCAAGGTTGCTCAAGTTAATGAGATGGGTCAAGCAGGAGAAGGGAAAACCCTTCCTGGCAATTGATAGGTTCATAATACATTTTTTCTGTTCAAGAAATTGTTTGTAAGTTATGACCATTCCTCTTCCAAATATAAAGATTGAATAAATTTTTCAGATTTGGATTTTTTGTTGTTGCTTTGTTTTTGTTTATGGTAAAGAAAGAGAAATTTAGGCCAGATGCCAATTCACTGTAATGACTTTCTACCAATACAGTCATGCCTTCCCTCAGGTTGAAAAGCATGTGGCATCTCCTTGCTATTTTTATCATGCTTCTCTCTCCCTTGGAAAGAAAAAAAAGCCCACTAAATCCTCATGCAGTAAGTCATCCTAATGCTGTGGAATCTCAAGTGTCAGACACGTTTTGCAGTAATAGCTGGTGTTATTCGTGGATCATGTTTACGTGCTGCAGTAGATGTAACAGATGTCAATTTGAGGCAGGTTAAGATGTTTGTGGCTAGATGCCTGTGTGTGGCTGTATACAGATGCTGATTCTATTTCTCATGCCTTATATGTTTCTTTTCATTGGTTTTAGACCAGTTGGGCACCAAAAATGACAACTGGATGAAGTACCATAAATATATCAGGAACCACAAACTACAGAACCTTTAGCATTCAAAAATGGCAGACTTCCTTCAACTTTAACCTCCAGCATTTAATCTTTATGGTTGAGAGCTGACTTGCACTACTAACTGCTGTACCTCTAGTTTCTTCTGACATTGGCCTAGCTATAGTTTTTAGAAAGGTTGGAATAGGATTTTTAGCTCCAAACGGAGACATTACTGAAAATCTATTTGTTCTGTGTGATGAAAGCTTGGAACATTTGGCTCACTTGTGGTCTTTTTCTACTCTAAGCTTTTTGCAGTGAAATTTTCTTTGGGTCAGAAGAGCATACCACAAACCCTGTTGACACTCCCTTATGTGATCTGTCTTGCTGATTTCTGTGGGACAACTTCTGTTGGATGATGTTTTATATGCAGGATCAAAGCAGAAGTGAGGTGAATGGCCAGCAGAACTCAACTGTGAGGCACAGTCCACAGCAGTGAGCTTGTGTTTGGGAACTTCTAGGTTCCTTTGAAATGCCCCTTTATTTAGAGCTTATGAGGGGGAAGAAGGGATAAATCAATTGATGGTGGAGCTGCTGTGACAGCTCATGCAAACACAGGTAGTGTGTGCAGATAGTTCAGATGGTGTCTTTCTTCATGCTAGAGGAATTTGGGTATTGAATCTGCTAACTTGCACTAGTTGCACAAAGGGAAAATAATGCCCAAAACAGAGGCCCAAAAGCTGTTTCAGGACAAGTTTAAGATGCTGTCAAATGCTTACTTCATAGATTTCCTTAGGTTTCCCTGTTGAGGGAAGGATGCATTGGGATGAGTGAACTCATTGTGCACGCATACCTCCTAAGTGACTTCACATCTGATGATCTAAGACACAATCCCCCTTCTAAAGATTTGGGAGTGCATGAGCCCTGCCACCAGGCTTAGGGGCTGCTCAGTGAATCCTGAGGTGGGAAAGTGGCAAACACAGAGCACATCAGTGCTCAGCACGGGGTGTGGTGCAGTGACCTTATCCACTGCCACATGGGCTTGTTGAAGGACAGCACTTGCTACCTTACATGTAGCACTATGGTGACACTGGGAGAATTTCCAGGACAGGGGTGCCTGTCATGGGGTGACACTGCACTGTGTGGATCTACCAAGCTGGGTTGTATGCCACTACAAGCCAGTGCAGAGCAGACACGCCCTGATTGAGCTCAGCTTCACAGAAGGAGAAGTTTAAATCAGCCCTCAGCTGTAGCCACCTCAGGGCCCACAGTGCAGGCACAGCCCTGCTGCACAGGCCATCTGATTGCTCCCTGCTGCCAGGAACGTCACTGCTCCACGTCAGTGTGATGGAAGCTGAGCATTTCATGAGGTACAGGATGCACAGATGTTTAGTTGCCAAAATGTGACTCTTGGCTGACTTTTTCCAAGTAAGCATAAGATTACTCCTGATTTCATTCACATGAAACACAGCTCGGGTAAAGCAAGGCCGCCATTTTAAACAAAGCTCTGCTACCACACTGAAGCCAGCCACCACTCCAGGAGTACAATATTGCTCAAGCAACATCGCCATTTTCTGAGGGCTTTCTCTTCTTCCTCTTCACCAAACCTGTGTATCCAAAAGTTCCCTTTCCCCTCCTTCTCCCCTGCCCCCCCCAATAGTCCCTCACCCATAGCAGTTGCGATTCAAACCAGATGGTTTTCTTTTCTTTCTAGGAGGCTGTCAGAGAAATTACACTTGTCTCAGTCACCAAAGCTGTGTCACTCTGAAAGCAAGTGGTTGAGATGAAAATTATATTTCTTGCAACGTGCAGCATCTGGTGCACAGCTGTTGTGCTGAATGAAATACCAAGTTAACAGCAGTGTGGAACAGTTGAAGTTCTCCCCAAAGTAGTATTGCTGAGTTTCTAAATATGCCTCTTAAATTATACTCTGGTGAAAAATCAGTCAACCTCGATCTTTGCCTCTGTCTCCCTTTCCCTTGAGCCCCATTTCTGCTTCTCCATATTTAGCACAACAAAGTAACAACGAACAGCATGGCCTTTCACAAAAGCCAATCCCTACCTGCTTATTTACTACAGCAGCTTCACAGTATGGGTTGTGCTGCTGGGTATTTTTGTTTAAATGTCTGCTGACTGAAGAGGCCTGGCATAGAGTGGAGGCTGTGTTTGACAAAGAGTCTGTAGTGAAAGGACCTGCCTGCATCACCTCCCACACTCACCGAACACCTGCATGCTGACAAATGAATCCCAAGAGCTCCCTTTGAAAAAGAAGTAAGTCCCTGTACCTCTGTGTGGCTGAAAGGCAATTAGCTCCCCTTCCTTGCATGCTTCCCTCCCTAAATAAAGTTGTTAATGCTGTTGTCTTGGCTAAGACTCCCCACTCTGACCCTCAAAACTGCCTTGAGCTGACACCACAGCCAAGCCTGCCCTGCAAAGACAGAGCCTGGATCTTTTAGGCTCCTTTGAAAAGGCTGTCTGCAATCAGGTCAGCCTACGCTGCCTCACGTGCAAAGACATTTTTCTCATTGCCAAACAGTCTAGGAGTAAAAGAGGGGTTTGCGTGAGCAGAGGCAGCTCCTCAGAAAGGCTGTGAGGAGAGGAGGGAGTCTCACAAGTGACAGATGGAGAAGGAAAGCAGAGGGGGAGCTGCAGTCATGAATCACTGTAAGGGTATTTCACCAGCTGGTTGCAAAGATAACCAGACTGCTCGAACCAGGGGAAAATCTGAGAAGGAAATGAGAGTAATGGTGCACTGCTGTTGCAGCTCAGTGCCAGTGACAAGTTAAGGGATCTACATCCTGGGAGTTGTGTTTAACTGCTTTAGCCAGAGATGCTAAGAGCAAGTTCCAACCCCTACAGATCTGCTCTAGTGCTCCTGGGGTTTTGCTGGGGACCTCACCTCAGGAAAGATGACTGAAATAGGGAAATAAAATTCAAGAAATGTGTTTCTGGAGATGAGAATGACTGAGGGATGAAATGAATAGGGAAAACCAGGATGTGGGTGGGGGTTAAGCATCACTTGAAAGGGGATGCCGGGCCAGAAAAATATTTCCCTTTACTGAAATAACTTCAGCTCTTCTTCTCAAGGTTATTATGGGTCAATCTCTTCTAGCTAAACATGCTGGTGATTTTCCTTCCTTATGAAACTCCCTTTATATCCTCTTTTAGCAGTTGCCTTCTGAGAACAGCAGCAATAAGGTTTGCTTTTGCTGCAATCTTCGTTTTGCCCTACTCAGCAAATCTGAACAGGAAGGGACTCAGGCATCATCAAAGATGAAAGACTCCACCGTGAACAGCTCATATTTATACTATTCAGGTGAGTTCCTAAATGCAAGAAACAGAGACAGATCATGAGACAGGGCACAGTTCCTTTATTTCAGGTTTTAAATCTCCTCTGCCACATTTACAAAAGTGCTAATGAAAGGCTGACGTTGTGCCAATGCACTTAGAAACAGGCATGACCATGATCCATTTAAATATGGACAGGTTTGCCTTGTAATATGTCAGACTGAGGTTCAGTTCTTGAACCACCAAGTGTTTTACCCTTAAATGTTTGACTAGAAAAGAATTTGGTGTTCTTTTCATGCTTTTATGCTAGCACATTCAGCACACATACTCACTTTGTAGCTTTCCTGGCAGGGTGCAAACAGGGGCAAATCTGTCGCCCACAATACAGCCCACCCAGCAAGACCAAATACTGGTCAGACAGAGCAGGAGACTGAGATGGAGGCAATTCCTCCCTCCTGCCCATGGACATCGTGGTGCAGCCACACAGTCACTGTGCAGAGTGGCTTCAGAGACCTCACTTGTGGTATCCCACAGATGCTGCTAGAGAAACAAGGAGCAGCTATGCACATCTTCCCCTGGGACATTGGTTTCCCTCCTGTACAGTATGTTCCTCATAGCACAGTGCTCCAGCCTGCAAGACTGTCCTGTCTCTGTGTCTATGGCAGCCCTTCAAGGTGGAACCGTGCCAAGTCCAGTGAAAAGGGAGCCTCTGTGGTTTTGGAAGAAGGATAACAAATCAAATCACAGTTGCATATCCACTGTAATATCCACATTAGTGTTACCTTTTACAGCCCTGCTCCTTAGACTGCCTGTGTGAGCCCTGAACTGTGCAGCAATATTTTTTAGAATGACTCTTAGACAATTCCAGAAGGCTTAAGAATTTGACATGCAACTTTGTCTTATTTTAGTTCCTGAAGAAAGGTAAAAACCTTCAAACACGGCAACATGTATTGTAGATATCCCAACAGCAACTCTTCTGATTTCTAGCACATACCAGTGTTGCACACTGGGAATTTTGGGTCAACTTTAGGCAAAGTAGAAAGGGAGAGTTTGGTTTCAGAAGAAACTCTGAATATGAACAAACACATCAGCTTTTCATGGAGTTGTTCTGATAGTCAGTTCCAATAATTTTTATTTTGTTACTACACTTTATACTGCAAACATCCCTTGATTTCTCATATGGATGATCTCTTGCAAAATCACAAAGCATGATGTGCAGCAGCTGGTGACTTTGGGAAAACAGGAAACTTTCCATCCCACTATGATGCCTCTTACGGAAATTACCAATTAGTAAATGTGACACTTAACTGGCCCTTACTAGGCTTGAGAATTAACATTCCATGTAAGTAAATGGGAACAGTTATCACTTTTCAGTTTAATATTTCAAATTGATTCATGTTTCCAATTATTTTGAATGAGATCAACCAGACTGAGTCCATCCATGGCTACCCAAGATGTCATAGGGAAACCAGACTTTAATAATCTTTAGAAATGACCCACCTAACAGCAAACTTATCCTTACACTGAGGATCAGTTTACTCATGCGCTCAGTGCTTCGTGTTCAAGCCTGCTCATGCACATGTGCATCTCACACTACTGAAGGACTGTTAATTTACAGCATCCAAATACACCAGAAAAGCTTATGATAGGTAAAAAGAATCGTCCTCTCCCCAGACAACCATGAGAGCATGTCTTCTCAACATACTTTTAGAGAGAAGAAAACAGATGCACTTACCTCCGACAGCATTACAGCGAGATGTCATTTCCCAGAGGACCAAAGCCATGGAGTACACATCTGTTTGTTTGAAGGATTCCATGTTCTCCAGGTTCATCCTGGACTCCAAAACCTCAGGGGCCATATATCTTGCTGTGCCAACCTACAGGAGAAGAGATTGGGGAGAGCTCACAAGCTGAAATTGCAATTCATGTTTTGGATTCCACTGTGATTTAACTTCAGCTTTCACAGAAACATTGCCATTTGACATGTATCCAAAAATTCAGGCTATACTTGGCACAGGCCATATTTTCTGCTGCCAGGGGAATCTGGCATTGTCCTGACTACCAACTTACTTGCACCTCTCCTGGTGAGGAAAAAAAAAAAAGCCCTTTTTAGTTCCTTAAGCAAGTAATTTTGACACTGATAAATTTTCTCACTCTTTGGCCATTCACAGACAAACTCCAGCCTTTTGGCCTGAAGCAATTGCTGCTGACCAAGTGTCTTTCAGATGAGCAAGAAACACATTGTATTATATTGCACAGCATATTACAGTGTTAGCTGTTTCTTTTCATGGCAGGCTTAAAAGGAGAGTAAATGCAGGCCTGGGAGAAGAAAGCAAATGCACAAATACTGAATGCAGAACCACACATTTGAATCGAAACCAAAAATCTGCCCCTTTGAAAAAAACATTCTCACAAACTTTATTCATACTGAGCAATTTTCAGCAATGACTTTAGCAGCTTTGCTGAGATCTGGATTATGATTTTGCATTACAGAAGGTGAAGTTTAAAAGTCCGTTTTTATCACAAGAAAGGATTTAAGGAAAAATTCTTGGATCATTCAACAGTTGCTCTCAAATGACAAACTCTTCACAGGGTATAAATAACGTATCCCCCTTGAAAAACTGCAAACAGAAGTCTTTCATCAGGCAAAGACAGCTTCAAGTTGAAGACTGGTTAATGGCAGAGATGAACAAACTTAAGTGGGTGATGCAGTAGGACATAGGATTTAAACGAGCTGTTTACACTACAGCAATCACTCCAGAGCCCAGAGGCAAGCAGGGCTGCAAAAGATCATTTCAGTTCCTGGGTCTGCAACTGCAGACAGCCACATAGTAAATGTACAGTCTTGAGAGAGCCCTATGATACTCTTTTTATAAGCTTCTGTAAACATGTCTTATCACCTCAGGCTCAGGGCAAATGGGAAGATGTTCCACAAAAAGTGGAAAGTATCATAAGAAGAAGAAAAGATAAAGAACATAGTTTTGTCATAGGACCTTGCAATAGCAGACAATCTCTGTGTCAAAAATATCTGAATGGTTGTAGGATCAAAGCCTTTATAAACAGAGGACAGAAAAAAAATTCAGTGTGTGCAGTCCCAAAGTTAAGTTCTCTGCTACATTGACACTGATGAATTTAAGGCCTAGCATGTGAATAGCAGCTATACACTGAAAAGGAACTTGGGACAGTCATGTCTCAGCACCACCGAGGTGAGCACCAACTCCCTTCCCTATATAAAATGTACATATGGAAACACTGGAGCAGAGGTTGCTGCTACCCACCATTAACTCTCTAGCACATGATTTCTTCTCCAAGCACATCCCATCCAAAACTTAAAGAGGTTACCTGTGCACATTGGCAAACATCTGAAACCTTGCAGATTTTAACAAGATTAATGATGCCTAAACACAGGTCCCTCACATTGCCACAAAGTTCTGTTCTGGTCTGGCATTTAACATGCTCTTTGCAGCAATGGAAAGGATACTGCACTTTTGCAGGACAGTGGAGAATGAAGGCCTACAACTAACATGCACAGAAGAAAGCGCAGACAAAAATTGACTTGAAGAATGGTATCAAGCCAATGTTATATCCATCCTCCTTAGAACTTATCATATATTCCATTCTGCTTATATCCTTTTATCTGCATTTAGATTATTAGGTCTTTTGGCCAAGGACACTTTTTCTGTATCTTGAAAACCAGTGACTCCTGAGTCTCAAAGGCATTTTTAGGTATTTGAACTCTGGAGATTCCAAGCTGATTGGACTTCTAGAGTCTGGATATGCTTCTTCCTTGCAAATATCAGTCTGCTTTAAGTTCTTAAATTTCCAAAACTTCTAGTGAGGGACCATCTCTCTTCATTTATGTGATGTTTGAATCTTTTTTTACTGGAGGTCTTACATTTCTTTCAAGCTGTTGAGAGATGTTTCATGCCCTGAGGTGCATCAGTCAGAGAGGCAGTATGTATTTCCCATTATCTGATATGGGAAACCATCTATTACAAGGGTGCTGATGTTGCTGGGGTACAGAACTGCGGTCCTTGCAGCCACCTACCAGTTCTCTGAACACAGTGTGAAGAAGGTCCAGATTTATATGGTCACATCAAGTAATGTCTGCAAATATAAACCATCATGGATGACCAAACTCAAAAGAGTGCAAAGGTTCTATAGGGGAGAAAGGTGGTTTCCAGCCTGGTATTGTAGTCAATAATGGCTATATCTGCATGATATGGAAGGTATTTGGGTAGATTGGAAAGAAGATGGCTTTGTAATCCCAACAACTTGCCTTCAATATTGGTGTCTAAGGATGACCAGTAAAACAGTTAAATACTTACACTCTTATTTATTTCATCGAAAGCTCAAGTTTTTATTGAATTAAAAATTGGGTCAGCTCCATTATACAAGTTATAAAATTGAATCTCCTGGTGGCAAGTGTTTGAGTCAAAGGGTAAATTTTAGAAATTATGCATAAAGCAAATCTTGGTGCAAGACTTCTTTAATAAAAGCTACAGCATTGAAGCCGACATGTTGGGGAATTAAAGTGGGTTGCTCTTGTGTGCCCAAAAAGAACGAGGCAGAGGTTGGAGTCAAATCAATTGACTCATACTCCTTGTCACAGAGAAGAATGACACCAGCTGAGTCACCCCCAAACAGATTCACTGAAGCTAAACAAAATAAAACAGTCAGCCTCAACATCAGTGCCCAAGGACACTAACTCCAAAGCCATAACCTGATCTGGGCAGCCCTGTACTTTGTTATCAGTGCTGGTGTGGACTGTGGAAGTGGCAGTATCCTCCTACTTCCAAGTGACTCTAAGCAATGCCAGAGAAATCTGCTTGCAATAAGGGTCTGCTTGAAGCAAAGTGTCTGAATGAATTTCAGAGTCCTTGTCTTGCTTCAAATGGGACCAGTCTTATGACTGACAATCTGGTATGACTTCATTGAACTCTAAAAAGATCTGGCATTCTGGAAAAAAATGATATGCAATAGAGTGGTGTTTGTAGTATTTTAAATATGACTCCACTAATTAACATTCACTCCTGGCTTTGGTTAATAGATCTTCTAAAAATGAGATCAGGACAGTTGCTTTTCAATAAGGAGACATCCAAAGGCATATCCACATTTGATAAAGCACAGTAAAACTCCTGTGAACTCAACAGAACACCACAGACTAAAGATTTGTCCCTGAAAATGTTCTAGGCTAAAATATTAGTTCCATGTGAGGTAAAAGTCAGTTTAAATTGACAAGATTTGAGTGACCCATGTATAAAAATATAAATATAGAAATACACAAATATATGTATAATTAAACTATTAGGAATTAAGTTAACAAATGATCTGAATTTATACTATGGGAGTTTTCATTAAAAGAGACAATATGTAGATGCAGGTAATCTTCAACGCCTTCATAATCATCTCTGTGAAGCAGATGAGTATTATCCATGCTCCTTAGTTGAAAAATCACAACAGGGCAATTATTTTTATTTGACGTCCTTGTATTTGCTTACATGTGGAGAATGTACCATTCATTCAAGAGGTCTCTTTTTTTGAATTTTAAAATTATATCTCTCAGTAGTTATGTGCTTACAGTTTTTGAGGATGCAAGACTGACTTCATGTACGCTGGGGCAGACCAGGATTGGATCAAGTCACACAGAAGTGTAATGCCATCAGGCATGAAAACTGTGTCAAAACCTCACAACATGAAGCAGATCCTTATTGTATTTGTGTGTGTGCATTGCAGCAGCACCATGAATATTTGCTAACAAGCTCATACATGCTTGGTATAAGTGAGAGGATGGTTGCACACACACACATGCAGGTCTCCAATCATAACAAAACTTACATTGCACTCCTCTCGTTGTTTCTTTAATGTTTAGAGCCTCTTTGTTTATAAACACATTCACATTAATTTAAATTATTTTAAGTCAAAACTGCCATAGAAGCTTTTTTCATCTTTTCAGCCCAGGAACTGACAAACTGGTACATTACCTGTTCCCCCTTCAACCTTCTAACTTACCTGCCCACTGTTAGCCAAGTCATCCACAGACAGGGAAGGGTCCAGCCTCAGGGACAACCCAAAGTCACAGAGACAGCAGGTTAAATCATTTTTCACCAGGATGTTGGAACTCTTTAGGTCCCTGTGTACGATAGGTGTTTTGGGACGGCCACAGGGTGTGTGATCACTGTGCAGATGGGCAATCCCTCGGGCCAAGGACCCGCCAAGTTTCCAGAGGTCCTCCCAGCTGATAATGTGCCGTGTGAGATACTCCTGCAAGTTTCCTTTAGCATGGAAGGCAGTAATCAACCAATACTGTTTGCCAAGGTCTGTCTTACGTTCCTCTGCTGTCAAGAACTGGAGTATGTTCTCGTGCTTGAGGTTTACATCTGAAAATATGTCTTTCTCTGTTTTCCAGGAAGCGTATTCTTCATAGGAGAAAATCTTGACTGCCACAGTTTCATACTGTTCTGATGTGTTTTGCTTCAATTTGGCTTTATATACTTCAGCAAACCTTCCTTTGCCAACAACAACGTCCAACTCAATGGGCAGCAGCTCTGTGTTGTGGTTGATGTTGTTGGCACACGTGGAGCTGATGTCTGAGCGGTCATCGTCTAACATAATGGCACAGCCATCACTGCAGTCCTTATGCTTCTTGGGCTTAACATTCTTCTCCCATGCCTTGCTGAGTTTCCTCTTCTTGTGAGTGCGGTAGGCATAAAAGATAACAATCACAGCAACAGAAATCACCAGTAACGGGACAAGACTTATGATTGTGACTTTGGAAATTTCATCTTTCTCCTCTGGTTTATGGGGGTCATCTGTAAAGAACAGAAGGAAGGCATGCATGAAGTTATATCATAGTTTGATATCTACAGAAGGCTGTCAATAATTATAATTTTTATCCAGAATGCAATACATTATCTTCCCCACTAATAGCAAATAATTGTCACTGCTTTCTTGCTTCAAAATGTTGTTTTGTATGTAGGCCTCTGCTTACCATGACTTCCCTGTCTGCTTACTTTATAAAAAGCCAGAACTGAACAAGTAAGAACCTAATGTAATTTATTATCTTTGTTCTTTTCTCAGGCTTTTAATACATAATGGATGAAATCTTCACTTTCCTGAATACAATAGCCAAAGTCTCCTGTACTTACTCTGTCAATGTATTCTTGACAGAACTGCTCCTTTAACCACTAATCACTAAAACATATTCATTTTTTTATAAGTAAACAGACAATGAAGCCTGTGAACTCCAATAATCTGGAGTTATTACTCCAGATCCAGTATATTTTAGTAGGATCCCAGCAAAGCCATCTTCAGGAAGTCTGTTCACACACTATACAAAAATATTTAGGCACAAATATGTATGCTTCCATATAGACCCAAAAAACAGAATTCATTCTCATGCTTTGATGTATGTGAGTGTTGCTAGAACTAATTCAAACATCTGCATGTAAACGGGCTCAGAACAGTCACCACCACCACCCTCCAGGTACTTCTATATGGATTTATGTATTGGAAAACTTCCTCTGTGAGTTCCTTGCTGGCTGTACACTGGTTTTCTGCTGTAAAGAAGATGTTCACTCCAAACTCCATACCTGGTGCACTGCACACCACCTGTTGTTCTTCTATTCCCTATATGTTCCACCATATTCTTAGGTGGAACATATAGAGAATAGAAGAACAACAGGGACCTATTGTAGAATAGGGATGTGTTCTGGGAAGAGTACAGATTATTATCCTATAGGTAAGAGCTGCCCTGTCACCTCTAAAAACTACCTTCTAGTTCTGTATTTCTTAGGGAAGACAACCATTTTAAAAGGGAACAGTTTTGTTCCAAGAAGAGATAAAAGGAGGGCCAGAGTTTATATCTGAAACTGATTTGATCGAACAAATGGAAATTTATTTTCTTAGTCTCTTTCTTCCTTTGCGTCACATAAAATGTACTGTATCATCTTTGCATGAGGGAGGGAATTGTTAGGAAGAAGTCCTGGGAGCCTAACCTGAATGGACTAAAACAAATGAAGCTGCAGCTACAGTTAAGCAAGTGGCTTGTGGTGGCAGCATGATGCTCTGGCGGATGCTCACAGCCACGTCGTTGACTCAGGCTCTGTGCACCAGACCAAATAAGTCAATATGAAAAGGAAAAGTTTAATAAGCTCTGAAGGGAAGCTGTCACTAACTACATTAGCCACAAGTCTCTGTTTCCCCTACTCTGTGCCTTTCAAAACAAAGGTGAGCAATGCTGAAACGGATAAGGGTAAGAAGTCTACAATTAGAACAAGCAGTACCTCTGACCCTCCAACTTCACTTGTAATCACTATTCCATTGTAAACCCAGCTGGCAATTAGCAGGAGCCACAAGCTGTTCAAAGGCAGGTGATAGGACATCTGAAAAGTATATTCTTTTCATTTGGAAAAAGGCTTGCATCCTGAAACAGGATGTGCTTCCCCTGTTTAAAAGGTTCATCGACCAGATGCAAGTGAGTAATTAAATCCTAGCCTCTCAGAGGGTTTCAATGAAGAAGAAGTGCCTTTCTAGCACTGTCATTCCCAGCCTAGCACAGGTCAATGACATGCACTAGCAGTACCTACAAAAATATATTTCCTTTATTTATGCAAAAGAACTTGAGTTAATCCCTCCTTCCAGACCTATGCATACCACAAATCCTTGTTCTCCAGTAGTTTCTCTTGACAACAAAATGTTAGTAAATTTTAAAATTATTACATTTTAAATCAAAACAATACCTAAAAATTCATCACAGATTAAAGCCAACTCTTCTGCTTTTAAACATATTGAAGAGGAGAAAAAACCTGCTGTGTTTGTATGGCTTTTACGGGAGGAATATATTTAGAAAGTCAAATGTCACTGTCGGTAAATAGATTTGCATTGCTTATTCCCTTGTGCATTCTTTGCTTCTAGAAAAACTGCTTTATTAAGAACTTGGGAAACACCCTGGTGGAGGAGAACAGACTGCATTGTGGGATGGCTGTTTTGGAGTTTTGACTGCACGCAGGTCACAACTACTTGACACAACTATGACCTGTAACAATTAGAGAAAGTAATTTTGTTGAATATTTGGGGTTCGGTTTTGCTGGTTTCGTTTTTTTGGTGTTTTTTCTTGAACACAGAAAAGCATGCTTAAGTCTGGACTCTGCCCTTGGAAATGAGTAACATATCATCTATAACATAGGATATACTCTTTCACACCGATGAAAATGTTTCTTTAGGGCCTCTTAAGTAATTTTTCTTTGCCACAGAGCTGCAGCATGTAGACCAGATACCTGAAATACAAATATCTTTCAAAATGAGTGACAAAAGCCCTAAGATGTATTAGCTGTCCTTCAAGCAGTCAGAGGCAGCTGGGTGCATGTTCAGCTCTAACTGAGGAGAAACACACCCTGCTCTTTACTGTTATGGACTGTGTGAGGATCTCCAATCATTCCTACAATGTCCTAGAGCAGGCTGTATTATTTTGCTCTACAGCTGAGAACTCTCCAGCAGAGTTCTTAGTTCCTTCAGCTCTTCCTCTTTTTGCACAAGAGAAAGCTCTGCTTGCGGTGCAGGGGAATTTCTGGGTAGAAGGGAAAAAACTGTCAATGTTGCAAATGTTACTTGAAAAAGAATGTAAAAAAAAGTTAATCAAAGCAGAAGCTGAGCAGTTTGGCCACTTCCCCCTGAGCACTGTATCATCCTGCAGCCCTGCTGCAAAGTGACACATCCGCTTTGGCATGGTCGCTTGGAGGAAGCAGAGAAGCAGGGGGTAAAAAGTGTACAGCTGCACAACCCCACCTAAAGCAGCAGGGACAAAGGCTTGCTAATTTTCAGTATTTAAGATATGAGGCAAATCCCACTCAATGTTTGGGAAGTGCAAGAATGAGCACACATCAGGGAGAACTGAATGTCAGGACTGACAAGACTGAACTCTAAGCTTAGGAGGGGACCAAGCTGCCTGACAGGAGAATTAAAGGGGATAGCAAGAGCAAAGAGCTGGTGGCACTGAGATGTGTCCCAAGCAAGTAATTTCTGGAACTGTCTTTGATTTTGCCTGATGATAAGAGCAGAATCAAGTCAGTCATTCCAGCACAAACTAAGGATGGGGTACTTCTCTGCAAAATCTGTGTAGAAAATCAAGACAGGATCAAAATTCAGAGCATAGCTGTATGTTTGCATAGTGGCTAGCCAACATTTTATGGCTTGACTACAGGAATCTAAGAATAAATATGTTCACTTATAAATAAATACCTATGACTGAAACCTCGTAATTTAAAAAATGGGAGTGCACCTTCTTCTTTCTGAGCACTGGAATGAGCAAAACCTGGCTGTACAGGCAGGCAAGGAAATGGTTAAATGAAACAGCCTTTCATGTTTTGCAAACGTGCTCCTAAATAACTTTCCCCACCCACAACTATTATTTGGGTGGATCAGTCCTTTCTTAAGCTTCAAAAGAGCCTATTAATATAGCATAACAATGGAGAAGTTGAGCTAAAAGAAAGCTTCCTGTATGTGGTTTAAACTAAGCACAAACCATCTGCATAACCCTTAACACTACCCAAGCCTTGAGGGAATAGGGCTCAGGTGCCAAGGAAAATGGAAACACTGTACAGCCCCTGTTCAGTCAGGGAGCTTCAAAGCCCTAGAGCTTGCAAATTCTTTAGGTTGGTTTTCATGCCTTTGATACAACTTTAGTGTCACTGAACTTTGGAAGGAATAAGTAAAACAATGGCAGTGAAATGAGGACACACTTGAATGGCAGGGCAGCAGAATGCCCAGCCAGTGCTGACAGAACTACTTCCTTGCTGTCTGCTGCTCCTGTGAGCTCCAAAGCTGCTGCCTATTCAACTGCTAGTCAAAGCCACAGAGCAGAGAAAGAATATATTTGATATTAGCAGAACTCAACCTAAATATATCGACACCGATGTATTGCAAGCTTGTGCAATGTCTTAAAAATTCCCAGAAACACAAAGTCACAAAACATGGTCCCAGACACAGAACTGGGATCTAGTTATTTTGCAAGATCCCAAGACACAAAGCAGCCCTTTGAGCTGACTGGAGGAAAACTCCATTTTGTAGAAATTCTGAGGTTTCAAAGTTTGATTTGAATTCCACACTGGAATGAAAACCAACACTTTTCGAATGCTTTTGCCTGAACAGAATTTCTGTTCAAATGTTGCAGTTTGGCAAGAGAAGTATGTGAGTGCAGTACCCCAGCACGGGGGTACAGCAGCTTCAAGTTCAAGACCTGCTCTGAATCAAGGGAGAGCTTTTTACAAAATGGGAGTTTGAAACTTGCACATGTAGTGATTTCTGAGCAAGGCACTAGGCAACAAAATATGGAAAAGCCTGCCCATCTCTTTAGTACTGTCTGGATGAAAACTAGCTCCATAAAATGCTTCACTTTCAGTGAAATGAAATTTACTCTGAACAGCTGTTTGGAGTAATTTAGTTTACCTCTATTGAAGAGCTCTAAAGTGGAAATGAAATTCTGTAGCTCAGTGTTTCATGTACATTCCTGATTTTGGCCTTTTTAGAATTAAAATGGCTTGGAAATCTTCAGCAAAACATTTTTTGGTGGGAAATACTGATTTTCAAAACAAAAACTCTGCTTCTGACACTTCTATACTTTCCCTGAAACCCCTGTCTTGAGGACAAAAGTGGTCTGAAAGTTGATCCAACTTTTAAAAATTTCTGCTAGTTTTACAGGCATTGTTTTGGGGAGTTTGAAGATGGGGGGTGGGGAGCTTTTTTACTCAGGGTGGAGGGTGTTTCCTTAGGAAAATGGTTGATCCTGACACAAAATACTTGGTAATAATCAAAT